AAATGTGTTAACTTAAAACATTTTGCAACATTAGCCTCAAGATTTTTTCCCTTTCTCTCTGACCTTTTCCTCTCCAGCTTTTTCTGTCCTTTTTCATTTAATTAATACTTTCAATTCAAACTCTGCTCTGTCTGTCTTAATCCGTAGAACGGATCAGGCAGGCGGGCACAGATTTGGCAACCACAGGTACCACTACCTGCAACTGCTTCACAGTAGGCTATAGGGTTTTCTTGGGGACAATATACCCCCCAATCAGGAGGAGGGGAGTGGTAGCACATGCACTTGATGTTGGGTTGTTCCAACATTAACGGGGCTGTGAAGCTCAAATTCCCCCTACATAGCTGGTGGCGGCTGTGTAGCCAAGCCCATCTGGCATTTACCAGAATTGCCAAATTACCAGTCAACACCATAAGGAGTTGACTGTTCTCAGGAACAGAAGGAGAGACCATATTTTAAAGTTGACACTAAGTTGCTGACACTTTTGACTCCAAGGTCATTGTGACCTCAAAATAGGTTTTTAGTCACAATGTAGAAGAAAATAGACGATTCCAGATTCCACTCATGCTGACTGGGACAACACAGTGAATGAACAATAACTAGCACAGTACAGGCTTTCCTCCATCTGCCCCATTCTGCCTTTCACTTCCTGCCTCATTCTGAATTTCAAGCACCATTGAAATCCCATGACTGCAAACAACTTATTGGAGGACGCCTACCTAATCGTGATCCAATGAGTGAGCGAGTGAGTTTCACTTGCAGCTCGTAAAGACACATTGCATCTAAAGATGCCAGGAGAAAACAAAAGCACCACATTTTCTATTCCTTCCAAGAATTCACTACATTTATTAAATGAGTCTGGAAAGACATGGATGTAAAATGGCAACTTGGCGGAGGCATAGCATACAACCACGGGGCATTAATTATTATTTTTTCTTCTCTAGCAATTACTACATAAACACAGCATCAACTAAAATAAGAAACTTTTCATAGCACAGTTGTTAAATGTGGACTCAAACAAACAACTGTTGGTTGACTGAGGATGAAATTCAAGTCTCAGGTCTCAAGATGAGAAAAACTGAAGATGGATGTAAAGACAACTGACACATATTGTGATTCTTAAAAGGTACGATACAAGGTACGCTGCATAACGAAACGAAATCTGTAGTCCCTTCATCTTCATCTTATGATCATAACAGAGTTTAAATGCTCTTCTTACACCCCAAACACCTCCTCATCACTCAAAGATGGAAAAAATATACATGTGCTGATTTGAGTAGTAAATAAAGGCCAGCTTTGCGTGCTCCCGCAACAGTCCCTTAGCAGCCCTATGAAATTCTTATTACATTATAATCCTTATGCCTTACAGACTTTAAAGCAGATAGTGCAGAGAGTGTTCCTTTCTTGGAGATGAGTTGTTATTTGTGTGAGAGTTTAAGTGTTTTCTGGGGTGGAGGTATGTTGATCATTATGCGTGACTTGTGTTATTTTCTGGGGTTTATCTTATCACATCGCCCACCATTGGGGCCACAGCAGTGCATTCACATGTCTAATTCTACAGAACAGTTTAAGCATTACTCGTTACTCAAAAGTGTCAGAAAGTTTCATGTTACCAGCTCTGTTTTCTGATACTATAACAACAAATCTGAGCCAAAAACATACCCTTACAATAGCAGATATGTCTGAGTATCTGAGACCTCTTTCGCAGAACACACTCATTCCCAACGTAACACTTGACTTTGAAAGACAAGTTCAGAATCAACCGCAACAGTTACGTGCAGTTTGTTGTTTTTGTTGTTGTCCTCTGGTCCCCAGGTCCATCAAACTCAACCGTCCTTTCACTCACGGTTTCAATAGTAAACTGCCATAGGATTGACAAATACCATTAAAAAATATTATATTCTAACCAGAAACATTTAAGAGAACGTAAATTACAAAGTATATTTTGTATTTCATACAAATAGAAGGTTTTTCTGTAATTTTTATTAACTCCACCGCAAAGCATCACGGGATGTCTGAGGGACGGCCTTTATCGCTGATAGGCGGTCCTCAAATTCTGCTGGAAGCCATGAGAAACATACTCACACTTGTGTTTTGTTGGCAACATCTTGATTATTAGTTAGTAAACAAAATACTTCAGATGTGATACCTAAAAAACAAATGTGCTGTAAAGACCTGTGGGTGATGCAGAACAGGGGTCTCAATTATAAAAACTTCCAAAAGACAAAATGGCTTAAGCCATAAAAAATATACAGACTTATAAAACCGTGCATATGCACCCTTGTAAAAGCTTGTTCCCTTTATAAAGCACAATCAACTTGAAATGTGGTCCATGTGAGGAAGCGCCATATCCGATCCCTTCAAACGCTTACAACTGTCTATAAATGGTCAGTGGAATTAATATTAATACTACTGACTGTGGGAAGAAAAAGATGCAAACTCTGACAGAGGAGCTACACAACGAGATTTAACTCAGTGGTTATACTGTCATATAACACAAAAAAGATGGCTCTCCCAAGATGTTTACAAACGCGTGTGTGATTATTTATCGTTCTTGTTTTAAACTGATTATGCATGAGGAGACCGAAACGTAAGGCTCTCGAGGAGAAGTGACGTCAGTCGATGTGCATATTGTTATGGGGTTGATATTATAGCTTTGACGGGTGCAAGAATAGGATAAGTCCCCCACATCATATAGACATGTTTTCTAGTGATCCATCCTTAATGTGTTGTGTATGATTTCTGCGAAGTTTCTCATGGAGGGAGAGAGTAATGCGCCCATCAACCCATTGAAAGCTGGCGCCTGTCGGCTTGCGCTCTCTTGAATGTAGAAAACCTAACATCCGTCTGATCAAGGTAATATCAGACACGGGGTAAATCCGTTTTTTATCTTACGAGGAGCAAACGGTAGCGTATAGTTAGTGAGAGGGACGGATTTATGCGTGAGAACACAAAACAGATGTCTCTCACATGATGTTTGCAAATGCGTGCGTGAGTGTTTATTCATCGTTCTTGTTTTAAAACTCTCAGTAACAAAAATTTCAAATGCATACGCTTTTGCACCATAGGAAAACAAGCTCCGTGGCTCTCCTTCCTTTATAACCGATCTGCAAGAACGGGGCATTCCTCCTGCGTAGTGACGTCACTGACCGAAGGGGGACACTCACTCACACGCACACACACACACACACACACACAGACGGGATCGGGACACACATAAGCAAGACGGGATGACCCGGTTGTAAAAAGAGTAAACCAAATGCATTCCACCTGTGTTTAAGCATGTATTTAGGTTGAGCAAAACAGTCCACTCACAACGGTGGCGATGAGTTAAAAGAAATAGCTTGTGACTTGTTGTAAACAACATTGAAACAGTGTTATTTTTCATGATAAACAGCGCATCACATCCATACCATTTTCCGGTTTTATACTGCATCACAGAGTGTCGGACATTGTGGGATTTAAGCTGAGATAGATATCACCGTATCTACTATCCTAACAATAGGAGACAATTTAAGTATCTGAGAAATAAAAAGGCTTTCGAACTAAAAAATAAAACATTAGCGCAAGACTTCAGGTGGTGTACACCATACGAGTTTTTCCTGATCTGAGAACTTTACCATACCATGGCTGTTAGGGAGACCGATGGTTTTGATTTTAGATTACAACATCCTTTTAGTCTAATTGTGTCAGGTCCTTCAAACAGCGGTAAAACATATTTTGTGAAAATGATTGAAAATGCCAATAAGCTCATTTCAAAACAGATTGAAAATGTTATTGAAAATTAGAAATGTGAATTTCGTTGAAGGCTTGCCATCTTCTTTGTGTGATGATATATTGTTGCCTTTAGATAAAAACAATTTGTTGATTATTGATGATTTAATGCGTGATGCTAGCAATAACATTGAGGTCCAAAATGTGTTTACAAAATATGTGCATCATATAAATTTAAGTTGTTTATATCTAGTTCAGAATTTGTTTTTTCAAGGCAAAGTTAGCCGTACTATTAATTTGAATACCAATTATCTTGTTTTGTTTAAAAATCCCAGAGATAAATACCAAGTCATGCTAATGGCTAGACAAATGTTTCCTGGGAAGAGTCATTTTTTTATGGATTGTTTCGACGACGCCACGAGTGTTCCTTACGGTTACTTGATGATTGATTTTAAAGCTAAGACACCTGATGAATTCAAACTCAGAACCGACTTGCTGCCTGTTGTGTATGTGCCTAAGAGAAAGTAAATAAACATGTCTGATCACAGTAAAAGAAACCTGTCTTTACTGCAAACTAAGCACAGAGCATCTCCATCTCAGAGTGACTATTATTAAATCTGCATCACCAGACCTTTTGGTAGCCTTATACGAAATAGCTTACAATGTTTTAAAAGGTAAAATTACTTTAAATAAGAAACAGTATCAAAAATTTAAAAAGAAGAAGGCAGGGAATTAGACTGCTCGCCAATAAAAAGGTTTGCGCTTCAAAGAAAAAGACTTTGCTTAAACAGTCTGGCGGTTTTCTTCTCCCCCTCCTGAGTATCGCTGTGCCTTTTATAACGAGTCTTATTGGTTCAAGACAAACTTAGATGACTATGGAGTATGCACAAAAAATGTTTCTGGTACCTAAACAACAGCTTGATCTTTTAAGAAGACCTCCGGCACACGAGTCTATTGGATATGACCTGGATCGTACTATAAAAGACATTCTGGATAAAAAGACTGAAGATCTTCATGAAAAAGCAAAAAAAATATTCCATCGCATTGCAGAGATTTCTCACCATTGTAAAACAAGGAGAAAAAGACCAGAACACTCACACACCGGTCGCTGAGGATTTTCACTCTTCAGACGTGACTGAACGTGGGGAGTTTGTGATTAACGGTAATGTTATTAAAGGGTCTCGTGTATGATTTGATAAGAGGAGTAACTGCTTCTCACAACGTGTCTGACAGCCAGTGTATAAAAGGCTCTGACATTTCTGGGTGCCTGCCGCTTTAAGACTCTTCTTCTGTGGTTACGGATGGGGAAGTGTGTAGCTAGTGTGTTGGCTATAGTGGGAACGGAAACTTTTTCAAGTTCAACGAGCATAGTTTAGCCCACGTACCTGTGACGATTAGCATGTTTATTTCCTCCTGAATGATCCAGCTTCCAATATTCCATGTGTTGAGTTAATGACGAAAAGTAAGTGACTGTAACTTTGTTGTGTTTGTTTCTGTATTGTAGAGTTAACATGCATTCACATGTGGCCAGCGTGGTGAGTGAGATTTCTAATGTTAGCACAATGTTCATGCTGTAAAACGCTGCAGGAAATAATAAGTTAACTGGTGTGAGCCTTCTGATGTCTAACTTACGCAGTGACACCTATAACATTGAATTAAGGAGTGTTCGTATCGTGTTTATTAGACCATGTGCAGACGCTATTATGTAGTAGCCTCGGCTAGCCAGAGGGTGTCGCCGTTGTGAACCCCCTTTCAATGCAATCTATGATGTAAACTGGTCAGTGAGCTACGTGAAGCTCCTTATGTCTTTCCAAGGAGTAATATCCACATTTCTATAATTGTAAACTTATGTTTAAAGGGGAATAGCAATGTTTTGAGATGTTTATGTTGGATGATTTAATTACATAATGTATGTGGATTTATTATTCACGTTGCATAGTAATTCAAGTACCTAATGGTGATTTATTTGGTTTATACAGACTATAATGACAAAGATGGATATTGGAATGTTCTGATGAGTACTGCTGGAGCTCAATACAGTTGAAGGAAGAAATTACATCTCCTCGTCTTCATTCCTGTGTCCTGACCGATACACCATCCTGTTCACTAGCTGAAAACCTTGATGAACTAGCCCTACCTAGTTGCCTCATTAACAGCCAGAGACCTACAGGTTGGGATGAATATCTGCAATCGTTGGCTATATTGAACATACCTTTATCAGTTGTACCAGATCAACAGGTCAAAAGAAAAATTGACGAGATTAAGAGAAAGACTTCTGGAGAATCTTCTCCTCTTATTACTGGACCGCCACCTACACCTCTTGTTACCAGAGGGCATCGATTAGCAAACAATGAAACAAGTCCATTTGTATCTCCTAAAGTGCAATTGAGTGATTGGATAACTTTTTAATTGTATATCGTTATTACTTTTAAATAAATGCATAGAGACATAACTTTATCATTTCAAAGTGTTTTTATTTTTATTTCATTGTCGTACACGTTTCAATCTATAAATTATTTTGATAATGAATGGCACACAACTTCTAATATTATTATACACACTTAAAAGAATCTGATACTTGGACACACTGGTTACATTCTGCATAATTATTTTGATCACATACAACCGAGGGTCGTATTTTTTTCACAAATTTGCACACCATAAAATCATTGCATGACCGTTTTACTATATTTAGTCATTACATTGTCATAAGATAATCCTCTATCCATATTGTAAAAAAAAAACGCACAATGCTGACCGCACACTACAGAATCCACATCTTACACTTGTCTAACAGAATGTTGTGGACAGAAAGACAGAAAAGGATTCAGGAAATGTGAGTATACCGGAGAGTTCCCAAAACTGTCAAAGAATGATCCCACACCCTGCTTGTCAATATAGATAGTGACCCAGTGTTGTCCTCCCAGGTAGAAGGGGTCTGTGTTTACCACCAACATGGTGGGTCTCTTTTTAATAACTGTTTTAGGAAGCTGGTCACTAGCAAAAACTCCAAGAAAGACGCCTTGCTTCACTACCTTATCAAGTACTTTTGACAGTACTATCGTATTCATACTATCGTTTGTTAAAGTTAAAGTCAATGAGGACCGGTCTTCTTGATGATATCTCAATTGTAGAATCATATGTGGCGTAAATAACCGCATTTATTGTGCGTTGAAGCGGATTTCTAAAACGAGCCTCTAATCTAACACTACTGTTTTTAATTAGTGACATATGGTCTCCGCATCCTTCATCAGGGCTCAGGTTAAAACAGAACAGACTATATCCATTACAAAACCCGTCGCGGGTTATGGCCATAGCGTTGTTTTTAAGATACTTTCCAGTTGCCGAGTACAATTGATGATACTCCCTGATGGCATTCGCTCTGGTAAAGTTGGGCTGAAAGGGTTTTGAAGGATATTGTTGGCCGTCAACGTATAAATATAAAAACTTTGTCATAATGGTTAAATGTAAATGGTTTCGCGTATAACTACTTGTAAATGCCTCATGATCTACAAATCCTACTACAATAAATTTAGGTATTTGTCGCAAGAATACATTTTCTTGATTACAAACACGAGTGCCCGTTGGGACACTAAAATCTTTAAGACAGACTTTGTCTATGGGATATTTAACGTTGCCATGCGTTAATGCCTTAGCGTGCGCTAGCTTAACAGCCGGAGATACGGTGACTTTCTTTACAAACAGGCTTGCTGACATAATATTAACCCGAAAGTCGTCTACAGTGTTGCGCATTAAGCAAAATTCGTTTTTAGCTCTTATGAATTTATCTTGAGGTCTACGCCATTTATCATTAACTTCTTCTTGAAAAAACAAGTCAGAATGTAAAGGGGATATTAGCTCCACTACGCGGCCGCCTTGTGTGTACTCCATTCTTTTAACTAGTCCTTCATTGAGTCCTCCAGCCGTTGCGTCGTCCATATGACCTGCTGTATCCATGCAAAATAGTCCGGATCCAAACTGTGTCTGCAGAGCGTCCTTTCCGTAGTTCAAAAGGCACTCTATTATACCCCTGTAAGGATATGTGTTTGATGATTGCGTTATGAGTCGGTCCCCCAACGATATGTCGACCTGTGAAAATATTGTACATCCAGGGTAGTTGATAAAGCCCATTTCGTCTGCTTGATCCAGGTTTCCATCATTAGATTTGGTGATTTTTACGTGCGTGTACAGAAACGTATTGTTTAGATCCAGGTAGTCCTCCGTACTAGCTGGAATGAAAAATTCAAGGGGTGCAGATACCGCTGCTAGAGGAGGGAATTCGACATAGATGCATTTCTCAATACTTGTTTGTGTTTACGGCACCATAAACAGGTCTACCTCCGACTTAACGCATTCTTGTACCAACGACATTCTCGTTAGAAAATGTATCTGTCTTCTGACGTTTTGTCGACTTGCTTCTCCTTGCTTGTTTATTTTTTCTAGTCTTAGTATGGGTCTTCTTATTTGTTGTTCGGCTACACTTCTTTGGTAAGTATTTGTGATCATATGGTTGTTTGGACCCGATATATGTACTATTCTTAAAAGAGGGACGTAACTATCCCCTACCGTTTGATGATCAACAATATCGGTATAAACAAATATATTATACATTCCTACGTTAACATCGGCAGGATGTGGCGCCAAATATGGCATCTGTGGAGAGGGGGTTGTAGCCAATTCTGTGGTCTGGTCTCTGCCACACAGACCACTGGTCGCTGCCACTAGGGGCGCTAAAGATACTGGTCGCTGCCCCACGAACCACTGTTTGCTGCCTTGCTGCCACACAGACCACTGGTCGCTACCACAGTCTCTAAAGGAAGGCTCCTTTCTGTTCCTTGTCACACAAACTGTGGCTGTATTAAAAAAGGTCAGTTTCAAGTTTTTATACAGTCTATGGTTCCAAAGTAGACCTAAAGTGACCTTAGATCATATAAATTATCTCAACTGGCAGATGATACAATTTTGTTTTTGTCTAATAGAGATGAATGGATCAAAGCAATTTTCTACTGTATCAGGCTTAAGAATGAACTTGAACAAATCTGTTTATTATTTACAAATTTAAAAAGATAAACACACTTAAATGAGCATACTTTCCTAATAAACTACCTTACGCTGCGCACCGCATGACTGACAGGATGGCTGCACTTCTCCACCATCAGCCACTATCGTGCTCACAGTTTTGAACAAACAGGTTAAGGCCGCGACCAGTGAACATGAAACTAGAATTAGACTCTGTATTGACTGCTGCTTATTTGTTTAGCATTATTGGCTTTTTGATGCATCCTCCAATTAGTACAGCGCTACATATGATAATATGCTTGCTATTGTGTGCCGGCGGCCATCAGTGCGTAAAATAACAACACTTAAATATTATACCTATCATAAAGGGCGAAATTGCGTCTCTCCTTTAGTAGTAGCAATAGTCTTTGGTTGCATTTTTCACGCTATTGAAACTCAAACTTTGTTGCAATATCGCAGACATCATGGGCAAGTAGTGGACTGCTGTGTGTGTGTTTGTGCGTGTGGGCATGAGATGAGGCTCCACACTGCTGCCACACTGGTCGGTGTGGTCACTGCCACTAGGCGCGGTGAAGACAGTGGTCGCTGCCACACTGACCACTGGTTGCAGTTGGTTATATCTACTGTAATACATCTTTATCGTAATTCTTTGTTAAAATATTATGGATTATGCCTATTCTTATTGTTGCACTATATATTGCAGTTTGTGTGGTTATACCTACAGTAATAGCCTACATCTATCTATCTTTAGTCCTTGCCTTATAACAAGGCCTGTGTTATCACCTGTGAATGAAACTGTGTGTTTGTGTGTACATCTTACTATATCACAATACTTTGTAAAATATACTCTATTATATCTTATTGATGCACTGTAGGCGTACAGTATATTGCAGTTTGTGTGGTTGTAGCTAATCTACAGAAGGGTAATACATCTATCTAGATCACAATACTTTGATAAATATAGCCTACAATATTATTGATTATGCCTATATTCTTATAAAATATAAATCTCTTCATTTCCAGGCCATTTTATCAACTTAGTTAGCCATTTAACTTTGGAAAGTTGTTGTGGTGGCAGCCCAGCTGACAGTGAGTGTCCTGGTTTTTCTCCTATTTATCAGTTATTCTGCTTTTTCCTTGTTTTTCTGTTCCCTGCCTGCCTCCCTGTGTTTTCTCCCCTGTGTGCTCTCTCTCCCTCTGCTCCTGAGCCCAGCCAACGACCCGCACCTGCACCTCATCAGCCACCTCGTCAGCCTGCCACATCTGCCAGTAGTCAACCTCATCCCTGCCTGTATTTCAACCCCGGTTCTCCACACCACTCTTGCTTGATCGTCGTTGCTCCATACCCGGTGCCACCTCCACGTTCAGGCTCTCATGTTTCTTGTTTTTTCTCACATTTTCCCTGTGCTTTGTCTCTGTTATCTCTAACCCTGTCTCTCTGTCTGTTTCCCTCCAAGGTACACTCACCCTCATCCTCCGTTCAGTCGGCTGGGCTCACCCACCGGCCCTCTCCTCCTTGGACTTCCCCCACGGCGTCCTCCCTGTTCTCGGCTCCCTGGCCCCCAGTCTCCTTGGTTCCCCGTGCCTGTGTTTCCCCGACATCCACATCCAGTCCCTCTACCCCTTTTTCCCTCAATAAACCTCCTTCCCTCAAAGTGCTGCGTTTGGGTCCTCTCTGTCCCACCCCACACCACTCTTGTAACAGAAAGTATCCAACGAAGGTTAAAATCAAGGGCAACTGGACTTGGTTGAAGATACTGGAAGACGTTTCGTCCCTCATCCGAAGGACTTCTTCAGTTCTGACTGACTGGCAGGGAAACTCAGCTATTTAACCTCAGTGGGGTCGTTATCCCGGGTCATCGATACCGCTGGTTCGTTAGTGTTCCTGGTTGCTGTAACGAAAGTCGTTACAGTCGTTAAGACTACCGGTGGCCAAGACTGAACGACCATCGGACGAAACGTCTTCCAGTATCTTCAACCAAGTCCAGTTGCCCTTGATTTTAACCTTCGTTGGATAACTATGACCTGGATGACTGAGAATCTTCATAGACATCTTGTAACAGAAAGTATTTAAGGTTTCAAAACTTAAAACCTCCAGACCACAATTTTTTATGTTGCATAGGGTATCTTTCCCTAAATAATGACATTTGTTCCTCCAAATGAAATTAAATAAGATCTTATCTAATTCTTTGTATATTTCAGTAGGCATTTCCAGTGATAAGGATGCATAGATATGGATATTCCCTCAGTATTGATAGTAGAACTCTACCATTCAGTGAAAGATGCCTCATCCACCACATGTTGAACCTTTTGTCATTATTTGTTTAATCATAGGGCTGAAGTTTAGGTTATTGCAGAGTCACACCCAGGTATGTAACTGGGTTCTTCACAGGGATACCATTAACTTCTGATAGTTCACATTCCTCAAGTGGTAGCCT